GGGAATGGGGTGGGGCGGGGGGGGAGGGGGGGGGGTTGGTGTAATTTTAAATCACCACCACACGGAGGTATTTATGAATATTAACTACATGACTACGGAAATTAGTAACAAAAACTAACATAAACATATTCCTCTGAATCAGGAAAGAACAAATGTAGCAATTTCTCAAAACAAATATTTCTTTTCAGATGGTCTATAGTGGCTGAAAATGTCAAAATGTGACTGCTTTTGCTTCATGCACAGAAAGTTCAGCCAGCTTGAAATAGATAAACTAATGAGTTACTTCAAGGTTAAGCCATCTAAAACACAATTAAACATACAATAGACATACATTGCCTCATTAGTTTTCCCATCAAAATCCTCTGTTGCAACAGAAATCCCATCAACATCCTCGGTTGCAACAGCAATTTCACAAAATAGATATAAAGTTAGATTCAACAACTCAGAATAAATAAAGAAAAATGTGCACAGACTTCAAGGAATAGGAAGGAGATCTTCTCCAATACCATACCAGGACTTTCCTCCGAAACTAAGAGTCACTGATTATCCGAGTCTTTTATTTGTGCAGGTGAAAATCATTCAGTAACTAAATCAAGACAACGATATTCAAACATGAACCTTTGTCATTCCAATTCTAAACTAAATCATTCCCTAGGTCAACCTGTAACTATGGAAAATAAAAAATCATAAACAGATAAAAAAATAAAAAAAAATCAAGACTTCAATCTTGCCTTGATGATTCCAAAGCTCTCCCATGGCTGCTCAGAAACATCATCCTCCTCTTCATCTTCATCATCCGAGTCCAAATCATCAGAGGAAGGAGACCACCACGACGTTGTGGCTTCTCTGAACTTGTTGTCCTCTGCATTTGAATCCCTGTAAAATCCAGGGCGCCTGCTCGCAAAGGTGGCCTTCTTTTCCACCGATGGCGACGCTCTGACTGTGGGAAAGCCAAGAGAGAGAGGTTTCCATGAAAATGGAGAGGAAAAAACTGTGGAAAGAGGAGTGGCGCACGATTGCAGAAGACTAGGAATTGTGGTGTTCATGAAAGGTGAAGCGGCGCAGAGGATCATATCTTTATATCGTGATTTTATTAAATTTATTGCTGAGTATTGAACTGGTGCCCAAGTAAGAGAAGGCATAAAGAAGTGGGGAAAATATAACATTCCTATGTATTTCCCTCATGTTTATTACTCCCGCGGGTGCGAATTATCTATTTACTCCCCTGAACAATACACCTGCTAGGGATACATTTTAGATCTTAAATTTTATTTTATTTGGTTTAGAAGATAGGTCTTTACCCGTTTTTCCAAATAGAAGGAAAAAGTTTATATAGAGCCAAGGCTCTAAAGAATCAAATTAGAGCCCACCTTAAAAATTTCAAGTTGCTTTGATGGTTAAATATCCTCAAATTAATCATCTAGACATCAAGTTACATGGACATAAGAAAAAAAAAATAGATTTCAGGTTTTGAAAATAATGCATCTTGTAATATATTTTTGGACCATTAGTTTTCAAGATTTTCAAGTTTTTATATTTCTGCTTGATCTATACTTTTTTAAGCTTTAAGTTTTATAATTAGAGATGAAAATATACTTTAAAACTATCACAAAGATTTTAAGTATTGAAACCACATATCTCAACACTATTTGAAGGTGTTTAGAACCTTGGCTCTATACAAACTGCACCCTTAATAGAATAGTGTAAGTGGTGATATCTCAAATTTTAGGGGCATAATCTCTACCCTATAGCCTAATCTCATTGAAAATAATTTCTAAAATGAGCTTGTTATGTACTAGAAAAAATTAATGCCTAAAGATTGAATGGAGGCCATCCAACTTTTGAAGGGCTAGATCTAAGTGTCCTAAAATAATATTCAACTTTTTCTTTTCAAAATAATCAGCTTATAATTTTAATGTGGTTCTCAAAATTTTTTGCCTCAAAAATATTCCTACGTAGGTGTATTGAGTGAGAGAGTATATATACAGTAGGCTTCCAAAGGCTTCCCAGGGAGTAATGTGAGATTGTAACTTATACTGTAATGCTGGTCCAATCTCCAGCACGAGTGCTGAACAACGGACGGTGGAGATGGACCCCGTCTCCTGCATGAGTGGATAAGGGAGGAGAAGTCTTCATCTCAGCTGGTCCCTATGAGGACAACAGTGGGATTGGTACATGTTATTATATGAGGGGTGTAGAATGTATAAAGCTGCGGCTCTAAACAATCAACGTAAGGCACACCTTTTTTTCGAAAGATGTTATTCTAGTGCTGGAAATCTTTGTGGTGGTGTGAGAATGTATTTTCGTATCTTTTGAAAAATAGTGTAGATCAGATCTAGAAATATGGTAATCTTGAAAATTGACGGTCTATAAAATATATTATAGGATGCATTATTTTCAGTACTTGAAATTCATTTTTTCTCGTGCCCATACATCTTGAGATCGATTTGAGGATTTTTGGGCATCAAACCAACCTCTTCTAATGAACTTTGAGGTGCGACTATTTTCATTTATGCAGTTTCTATAAGGCCTAGGCTTTATGAAAAGAAAGTAAAGCCTCACTTGGAAAGCACTTTGGGTATCGGATTTGAACACCGACTATGAAATTTGAAACTCAAAAAATAGTACACATCTTATGGATCCTTGAACCTTTACTTTTAAGGGAAAACGGACGATACTGGTAATGTGTTATGATATATAAATTCTAATTTTTTTCATATCCATGATTGCTGAGATGATCGATTTGAAAGCTTTTCCGATGCGAGAGCTACAATTTTTCTATGATTTTTGTGGTGAGACTTAACTTATTTTGATAGGGCTGCAACTTATTAAAACATTTTGCTTTATCAAAATACATATGAGAGATGAGGTATTTAACATTTTGCCCGTGTGCTACCATTCCTCCAAGTATTTTTTTACGAGAATTTTGAAGAAAACCAGAAGTTATGAGTAAAGTGTTAAATTGCTCACCTTTATACCCATGATATATTTTCTACAAAATAAAGATATCCATATCTAGTGTCATGTAATGGAACGTTTTCCGTTTTACTTAGATTTATATTCGAGTCATTACCCGATTTTCTTTCTTATCACATTCAAGTGGTTTAACTTCATGTTGTGGCACCTTCTCACCCTAACCACCAAGGCTAACACGTTATTTATGCTCGTGACTAGGGAAGGTTGAATCGCCTAATTCAAAAGGGATTGGGTGGGTATTGGGGGTGATCCGGGTCCAAGGAAAATCACCTGCTTTTTGTATGACTTATTTTTTACACATCAGTTCGGATTGGGAATCGTCTATCTAGATAAAGTGAATCAAAAATCAATCCCGAGATATCTAGGTTCCAATTTCGTATTCAAAACCTTTTATTATTGAATTCTAAGGTCATAGGTAAAATGAAGGCAGATAATTTAGACGATAGAGGATTGTAAAACAAAACTGAAAGATGGATCTTCTTGCGTACAGGCCAGGAAAGGCATTGGTTCAAGACTATATTTGCCCCCTACTTTTAGGGAAGCAAATGCAATACCTCGAGACTATATTTGGCCCTACTAGGATGACCACATCATCTGGATACCTAAAAAAAAAAAATCAAGTCTTTGTGTGGTCTCGCCTACTCAATGCAGTGGAATAGTAGAACTACAAAGCATCATACTTGTCTTTAATTTCGAGACAGAGAAATTAATAAGAGAGAGAAAATGAGTAGGGAAAAGTGCATACAAATGGGAAAAATTGCCCCCTATTTATAGAGGGAAGAAGTTTATTTAGAACCGAGGCTCTAAACAACTAAATTAGAACCCACCTCAAAGTTTTTATTAGAGCATGTTGCTTTGATGCCCAAATATTCTCAAATTGATAATCTCGACCTCAAGATGCATGGACATGAGAAAAAAATTGGGTGTAAGTTTTGGAAATAGTGCATTTTGTAACGTATTTTTGGACCGTCAATTTTAGAAAATTTCAAGTTTTCATAGAACTACTCGATCTACTCTATTTTTTAAGCTTTAAATTTTATAATTAATAATGAAAATATAGTTTAAGGCTATCACAAAGACTTCTAGTATTGAAACTGAAAGAAAGACTATTGTGATCTTGCTGGGGATAATTTTTTTTATTTTTTTTCTATTTCTACCCCTTTTTCTTTTTTTTTTTCTTTTCTTTTAGCAAAATATCACTTACAAGTAGTCTTATTACAATAAACCCTTGCTTCAAAAAAAAAATATTGCAAATTTAAGTTCTTAAAACCTTGATGTCACTAAACCAATTTTCTTTAAACAAAGCAAATAACCACACTTCTTATGCTTGAGAATATAAAGACAAAATAATTAAATATGGCAAGAAATAAAAAAAGAGTGTTAAAGATTACCTCAACTGGGCTTATTATACCCCACACCGAGTCACTACCATCTGATAGCGAGGGATCAACGATTAACCTTCAATATCAATTTAGGGAAAACAAGTTTAAGACAAACCCTCCAATGAAACTTTGAACTCTTATTGATCACAAATCTCAAACTTTGGTGTAACCCATAAAACACATTTTAAGAGATATAGCATCTACTTACTACTACCCAAACCCTTAGATCATCACAAAGCAAGAAGAGAGAGAGAGTTCTATCTAAGTGGGGTGTGCCCCTTAATTTCCCATTAGAGAAAGAGTTTTCTTTCCTAAGTGGGGCGTACCCTTTATTTTGGCATTCTAGAGAGAGATAGAAATACTAGAGAGAGAAGAGAGATTTAAGTGTAGAGAATTATGGGCATGGTGTCCTCTATTTATAGTGCAAAAATAGGATTAGGGTTTATTAGGTTTTTCATAGCTTGCATCTTCTTATGAGATTGAATATGCACCATTGATCTTGGGTGGTTTGTGGGGTGAGATATTTGAGCCCTCCATTTCATAGATAGGTCATCAACATCATATGGAAAGTGCTATAACCTTTATCCCCCACTTTTTAAACCATTTTCCCATCAATAGAAATTAAATAAAATAATTTCATTCATAATATTGTGCGTACCAAAATTATGCATAAGCCTTCTCGTTCTTTTCAAAACTCCATTCAACGCTTCCTCAAGGCAAATGCCTTCTAAAACATCAAAAAGCTTTTTCTTCAAGCTAAAGCTTGATCCAACAAAATAAGAAAATGCCTTAGAGTGGGGCATGCCACCCTAAGTGGCACTCATGGGCCCCACCCACATTGCAATGGTGGGCCCATATAGCTTATTGGGTCTCCCATGCAATAATCAAATTAATTAGAATATAATATAATTTTTAAAAATTCATAAAACTCAATTTAAATAATTAAATCAATCTAAATCCAAATTTGATAAATAAAATATCCATTTAAATCAATCTAAATCCAAATTTGATAAATAAAATATCCATGGATCTAAAAATAAGTCAAATAACAATTCTAAAAATCATGTATCACTAAAACAAATATAATTAAATTAATTAGATGGGAAAATGATCCATATGGTTTAGGAATTAAATAAGTGAACATTGGGGCACTCTACATTCAACTGTGGACTATGGTCTACACTTGCTTTCTGAAACCGACTCAATGTTGCCCATGGCCCATAGTTCATGTAGGTGTTTATTAGTGGGTCACCAAAGCCTAGCCAATGGTCAATGTGTCATAATATCAGTTTGTGGATTTCATATTCTCCCCTAGAAACGTACCAAGGTCTTTGAGACTTGATGCGACCACAGCTTATATGGCGCACAGGGGTATCTCTAGCACATGCATAAGCTTCACCCTAAAAGGTGGTTCGCTTTGGTACGCAGATGAGACTTTGACTCTGGTCTCTGAAGACCACCATCATACACAAGGGCAACACGATCCCTCGGTTCACTCATCCGGGCATACTCCGACCCCATTAAGGGATGACATATTAAAACCCTTATAAGATAGTTTTATATGCTTAGGTAGCATATGTTTTTTCCAATTGTCTGGCCTAGTTCGTAAACTCAGTTTGGTATCGTCAAATGTTATTTGCTTAATATGGTCCATGAAGGACCACACTCCCACTGAGTTTACATTACATTATATCAAAAATGTTTATTACAAGCACTCATAAGGCCTTTAATGGTCACACTCGTAAGGCCTTTAATGG